TGGGGAACACAGCAGGCCATCTCCTGTACGCCTGGGCGTGGGGCCGGGCATGCTCCCTAGCAGGAGAGCCTGAGGTCAGGGGATCCTTAAGAGTGGGGACTTGGGAAGGGCAGGAGGAGTGACGCTGGTGGAGAAAATAGCATATCCAAAAGTAAGAATCTGGTTCAGCGCAGGAATGAAGGAAGTTCATATAGACACAAGAAGTGATTTGTGGAGAGTAGATTATTATAGTACATGATAGGATCAGTTCCACATTAAAACGCACAGTTCAGTGCCTATGCAAAATCGTAGTGAGCACCCAAGAGCATTAATGCTCATTTCCGCCAGTCTCCATGCATGCTGCTTGGATAGCTTGTCTTTGATTTTTCTGAATTAACCTATCTTTAACCCACTTCCAAAGAGTAATTGAGAGGGTTCCCTGTGTAAAATATGAAATAATATTATCTATGTTTCAGACCTTATGGTCATCCTGTAAATGAATGAGTATGTGAGCTATGGATATTTTTTCCAACTAAAGCTTTGGCTCTGTGGAAAAGGGCTTTTTCACTCAGTCTCCCCTTCTGCTGTGTTGGTTTCTGAATCTGACAGATTTCCAGATCTGCAAATCATTCTGCATAATAATGAACTTCAAGGTCAGTTCCTTATACTATACTTTTATTTTTTTTTTTTTAGTGTCAAATATTGCTTTGAAAAAGCATGTCTTCCACTGAAGCTAAAAACCTTGGATTTAATAATATTTAACTTTCTTTTTTCTATTTTAATAAATAAGAAGTCAAAGATGGGGCCGGAAGTGGCCTGGAACCGGTTAATTTCCCCCAAAGCTGGTCTGTACCCACACCCTGACTGAGTTTCACTTGGGGCTGCCCTTATCTTCTCATCTCGCCTTCCAGCTTTCACACTGTATTCTGAGTCACAGAGTTGAGAACCTAAAATAAAACCACACAAGTCTTTTACTGTTCTGTCTGATAGCATCGCATTATTCTTTTCCTTAGTCACATTCAACTCAGCTTTGTAATTATGTATTTATTTATTTCAATGTCTGCCTCTCCCACTACGCATATCCATTACATAGTAACATAAATTACATATTTTTATGACAAATAACTATTTTTATTAAAAACAATTTAGTGAAAAGAGTAAAATCATTTTAAAAGTTTTTGTCTGGCTTCTTAGAAAAAGGTGGATTTTAGTAGTTTTACATTCCTTCTGTTGCAAATTTGTTGTTCTGGTTGAGGTAAATGAAAATCTGGTCTCCTACAGATATAAGAAAAAGAAGGGGTGTTTTCATAGTCTTGTCAGATAATAGTGGATATTCTGCTTTGATACTATGCCAAATGTGGCAATTGGTAGTTTCTTAAGGATTAATTGCAACAAAGAGATCTGAAACCCTATCGTTGAACATTTTGTTCTCTCTTACGTTCTAATCCATTGCTCTGTTTTGCACTCGAGGTGAACATTTTACTATTTGGAGCATAATTATTAAAGAGGTTACAAATGCAATGTGGTTAAACCCCTTTCTTTTCCATTCGGAAAAATCCCAGGTTTCTTGGGGAAAGAAGAGGTGATTCTGGATATTGTTCATCCAGACTGAACAGGATGTGAGTGAAATGCACACATGCTATTCCACAGTTAGTCACTCGGTTTTGATACTGTTTTTGTCTAATAAAGATACCCTACACAATCTCAGTATGATGAACTTCTCCAGCCCTCGTTGTCTTAACGTACTCTTTTAAAACAAAATCATACTACATCATCAGGCTTGTTTTAACTGTCTTTTCCCTTCTAGTTGATGTGATGCATCCACAAACTGAAATTAGGTTAGCATCAGTGCCAGGCTGGTTGAAAAATGCAAAGGTATTAACTTCTCAGCTTCAGGGTACAAGATAATTGGTTGGAGGAAGTTAGAAAAAGATCCTTCTCTTCTACAACATGGCATGACACTCCACGATTGGCTAGGAGCAATGATCTTTTTCAAAGTTTTATATGGAACCAGTAGCAAGACATTGGGTGATGTAAAAATGTAGCCCACAATCACAGGGTGTTGTATTCGTATTTGTTCTCTTGCTTTTGTGATGTTAATCCTGTGAGATTAAGCCATCAAATGTGGCTGTCTTCTAATATGCAAGACTGTGTAAAGAGGGCCCTAGAATAGTAGTATATCCGTACAGAGAAAAAAACTGGGAAAAATGTACCAGATGTTGACAGCAGTTACCTCTGGGTGGTGGGATTTGGGGTCATTTTTTATTTCTTCATTGTCCTTTGTAAACATTAATTACAACAAATATCTATTTAATATTAGGTGTCAAGCATTGTTTTGAGTGCTGGGCTCGGAACAGAGAACAAAAAGTTGATTTATGATTTAGCAGGGACTAAACCCAGCAGGGGCTAAACCCAGGCAGGTTCTCCAACAGGTCAATTTTTATATTTCCCCTGATAAATATGAATAAGAAGATAAATGTTGGAAATATTATCAACCAAAATGAATTGAAAAAAAAAAGACTGGCATGGCACTATTTTTTATTTTTTTTTGGTTGTTTTCCTTGCAAATACAATTTGGAGAGTGTTTTGTGACTCAGTTATCCTAAATATCAGCCAGGAAGTCTCCACGATAGGCTTGACTCCAAATGAATAGAAAGCTTAATGTCAGAAAGAAGAAATAGTAGCCGTTTTCCGGGGGTGTGCTTCCATGGTGCTTTTGAGCTATGGTAATACTCCATCCAAAGAATCTAAACTATAACCAAGAACCACGAAAGGCCTGCAGGTAGCATTTGACAGACCTTCCACTCTTTAGCTGCTAGTTAAGTTTTGTGGCTCACCTGAGAAACAGAGCAAAGTGAATGATGGTGGAGCTTAAAAATTGGCTGTGTTCAAGGCTTGAATAACTAGGACCTTGGAAAGAACATATCTTCTGTTGAGGGCTCATATGGAAACATCTGGAAATAAACTTGAAACTTGATGATGAAAGAAAACCCTTTTCCAGAAGGACTCTTATTTCTCTTGTGTAGCTTATTTCAGTTGTGTAGCTACTGAAAGATACTGGAATTATTACAGGAATAGGATAGGAAACTAGAAAAAGAGGGGATTGATATCACTAATATTTCTTTGAATGAATCATTATTAGAGCTAGACTGCTTTCTGTTTTTGTAAATGTATAATTCCTAAGGTTTTGCAGATATGTGACTCTGTAGGAAATGTCAGAAAAGTTTCAGCATGGCCAAGTGTGACATAATATATTTGTGAGAGAAAAATCATGACTAATTGTAAAAGCAGCACAGTGACTAGCAGTACAGAATAAATAAGTTGGAAGCCACTACCAGCTATTTTGCAAAGATCTTATGTAAAGCTGTGACTTCCTGAGCCAGATTCCCCGGAACTTCTACTCTTATGAAATTATGAAGCTTAGTAGAAAATAAAGATCAAATGGAGGTTGAGAAGGTACAGAGAAGGCAATGAATTTAACTGACTGTCTAGAACAACTGAATGAAAATTAATAAAAATTAGGGGTCATTAAACTGAAAAAAGCTGAAGGGACCAGTGATCAAAGTCTTTAGAATCTTGTATATGTTGAACGTGGCAAGAACAATGGGAGGTCCTTCCTTGAAGGTTTAGACAGATTTTGGCAACACATAAAGGAAATACTATATCCAGCAGGTAGTAAAATTATGTAATTTGTTAGCTCCAGAGGGGATGGCAGAACATACAAGAGGGATGACTAAAAGGACATTCATGGCTTTTTATTAAGTGAAGACAATAAATAGGGTGAAGAGAACTGTGATAATATATACCTACTGGTGGTGTTGATGAGCTGGTGCTTGGGGTAGGAAAGGGTGTGGAGAGAGGGGCCTTGAGAGGGGAAGATAAGGTAGAAAAAGGAGAAAAAAATCTGTGTGTGTGTGTGTGTTTGGGGGTGTGTGTGTGTGTATTTATAAAGAGATGTTCATGAGGATGGCTCCCAAAATAATGGTGGTGGTCTCGAGATAATGGAGTTTCAGAAGATCTTGCCTTCTTTATATTTTAAATGTGGTGTTTAAATTTTTTTTAAAATAAAGAGCTTATCTTATTTTATACACCAGAAAAAATGTTACCTTTATACTTCCAGTAAAATAAAAGGAAAATATAAAATGGCAATAAAGCTATTAGCGATTTTCTGGATTTGTGGATTTATAGAGAATTATGTAGCTAATAGTATCATCTGAAGTATTTTGCTCAGCTTTTTAGGGGAAGGCCCATTGCTCCTCTTATGTCAGTACTAGAATAGCTTTCCCATTGGTCCTTGGCTTGGCCTCAAGGTGGCTCTTTCAGTCTCAGTTCAGAATTGGACAAGACGACTCATTTGATGTACTACTTCGGTGCTCAGCATGGCCTCTTGTCTCTACACCTTCCCTCTCTCTAGACCATTCTCGCTCAACAGCCAGACTTAAAAATGTAAGTCAGAACTTATCTCAAAAGCAGTGCGTCTCAATGAATCTCAAAACCAATTTACTGGTTTCCCATCTTAATTTGTAATAAAATCTGGAATCATCACAGCGACCTATGAGGCCTAACCTGGCTCCTTCTCCATGCAGACCTCCTTACTGTACCTCAGACCCATCTGCATGTCCCTGGTTCGTTCTTTCTGTCTGTGTGGCTCGTTCCTCAGGGCTTCCTTCAGGTCTCTGTTCTAGTGTTACCCCATCCAAAGTGTTATGTCTGCTTTCTGAAATATTACCCACCCCTTTCCTTACTCTGTGAGTCTGTCCCCTTGCACCGGTTTCAGTTTTCCTATGTGTTATCGCTTACATACCTGACATATGTATTTGTATATTGTATAGTGACTCCCTCTACTAAAATGTAGTTTCTAGATATAATCACTAGGATGTCATTTTATCGCTTTTGACATTGCTGCGGCCGTACTGCCTAGGAAGGGAACACACATAGTAGGCACCCAATACACATGTGTTGAATGAACGAATTCCTGTCTCATATTCTCCACTCTGTGTTCTGACATTTTTGCTTTGCAGAGAAGTTGTCACATTCAACCATTTCCTGGAAGCAGCAGCTGAGAAAGAGGTTCAAGGGAAAGCTCGGCTCCAGGACTTTATTGAGAATCTGTTGCAACGTGTGGAACTGGCGGAGAAACAGCTAGAATACTATCAAAGCCAGCAGGCCTCCGGCTTTGGGCATGACCTCAGTGGGCATGTGGTGAGTCCAGCCACCAAGGGTGAAGTCTCTGTGTGTGGCGGGAGTGGCCTGTGGATTGAGGACAAAGGAAAAGGGAGATGGGTGACTTGCAGGGACTCTTTAGACATCATTGGAAAGCACTGCTTGGGCCATGCCTGTGTTGTGCAAGGGATGCCAGGGATACTAAGCACCTGGAAGTAAGCTAAATCCTGGGTGCACAGTTTCCAGCTCATCTTGGCCCTCTCGCTCCCAGCCATTGCTGAGTTGGTAGATTGAAGATTGGTAGATTGTCATCTTCTGTGGTAACAACACCTTCTTCTGGAACACCTCCTGAAGGACCTACCTGAGTCTGTTTTACAGTTAATTTTTTTTTTAATAAGTAGGAGTACATGCTAAAATAATGCTAAAAAAGTTTAGTATAGTAAATACATAGACCAGTAATGTAGCTTATGATTGTGTACTGTACATGAATGTATGTGCTATACTTTTATACTGGCAGCTCAGTAGGTCTGTTATACCAGCATCACCACAGAGACATGAGTAATGCTTTGTGCTGTCACTACATTATGGCTACATTAGTAGGCGATAGCAGTTTTTCAGTTCCATTATAATCTTATGTGACCAACCATATATGGTCTCTTCTGGACTAGTAAATATTAGTGACCAACCATATATGGTCTCTTCTGGACTAAAAAAATAAATACTTCTATATTTGTAAAATAAAAGAGTCTGAAGTATCCAAAGAAATCACGTGTCCCAGCCTTGGTGTCCAAGTAGGTCAGAAATTATCCTGCTTTGGAAATCTTCAAGAGAATCTTATAAAATTGGCCCTTCTCAGGAAAGCAAGATCCAAGCACATATCCTTTTTATTTTATTTTTCCCTTAGTAGGGAGGAAAACACTGTTCAGCAGTCTCTATAGGTTAAAATTCTTTAAGTAGATTTGTAAAAAGAAAAAGTCACAGATGATAGTTCTACAATAGATTTCTGTATATAATTTACATATAGTTTCAGGGGCTTAAGAAACACCCAGAGCTCAGATTGAGAACCCTGGATGTGGGTAAAGATCCAAATGCTCAAAAGTGGCTTTATCAAGACTACCTGGTCTCTCTGGAGGGTGGAGGGAGATAATTAAGCATGCTCCAGGGGAGGCGTGGGCATATTTGCTCTCTCTGTGATATCCTTGGTGGTATAAACACAAAAGCCAAAGAAGGATGTTTGATCCTCCAAAGTGGTTTATTTATAACATTTTCAACACTTATTGAACTTTATTTATGCTTATTTCTTTCCCAGAGGATTAAAAATTATTCTTTTACTCCCCCTGCCCCCAACCATGGACTTTATTATAAGGAAAAGAAAGATAGGAAACATTTATGCTGACCAAAAGATCAGCAAGGTTGCTATTAGTTGATTAGAAAGTTTGCTTTGTGCTTTCTGGAAGCCAAGATTAAAAGGAAACATGATTAAATAATTACATTAAATAATACAACTAATTATCCAAAAGAAGGAATTAGTTGAAAGGCAGGTGAATAAAAGAAGGAAGACAGGAGAGGGGGAGAAGGAGAGAGGAAAGAAATGAAGAAATCCTACATGGCACTTGCTGTAATAATGTACCCTGTACCTTAGAGCAGCACAGCGATACAAGCAAGCCCCAGAACTTTCCAGAACAAAAGTAGACTGGAAGGAAGAAAATTTGTTACATCTATGAGGTTTGGGTCACTACATTCAAAGCAGTCTCATCCATGCGACATATTTATTATGTCTCTGGGTGGGTGTCTGTGGTCTTCCACATGCAGCACTCCTAAGGGGCAACTGTCACCCCACAACTTGGTCCCTCTGTGTCTCCTCCTTGGGAAACCGTGCGAGTATCCAGTCCTGACTAGCTGTGGCTGCAGGGACACTCTTTGAGCCTTTCCTGCTTTCTTCCATCCTACTCTCTGTCAAGAGAGGCTTGTGGCATGAGGTCACGGAGCCCAGGTGTGAGGTGAAGAGGCTGCCGACCAGGCAGGACAGTTTGTCTTCCTGGGCCTGTAGTTCTTCTGGAAAGTGAAGGTTGGATCAGTACTCTCTGAGGTGTTTTGGCCTGTTAAATGATCTGGTCATCATCTGACTTTGCTGGTTGGGAATTCTAAAATTAAAAAGGTAGCCTTAACATTTTCAGTATTTAGGCGTGTAAGTCACCCACAGCTAAGAAATATATGAAATCCTCCTATGCTAAGCCAAGAGGAGTCTCAAAGAGAGGAAACAGTGGAAGGCAATGAGTAAGAAGGAAGGCCTGTTCGTTCTCTTTTTTTTAAATATTTTTTTGCTCACTTCCTCTGCTCAGTTTATTTTTTTAGCTTGAAAGTTGAACACTTTTCAAGAGACGTAGCCAGTCATTATTTCTCATCTCACCAAATCACACAGTCAACAGTTGGGTAGCATCTCAGCTCCTCTTGTCAGATATGTACATACAAAGTCATATATAGCCGTGATGCTTAAGGTTGGGACACGTTCCAAGAAATGTATGGTTAGGTGATTGTGTCATTGCGTGAACGTCACAGAGTGTACTCACACCAACCTAGATGGTATAGCCTACTCCACGCCTAGGCTGTATGGCAGGCGTCCTCAAACTACAGCCCGAGGGCCACCTGTGGCCCGCTGAGGACATTTATCCTGCCTGCCGGGTGTTTTTGCTGCTGTTGCCTGTCCTGCTTAGCAGCCGACTCATCATGGGCCCACAGTGCGCATGTGTAGAATGTGCGCCGAACTCTCCAACGGCCCTCCAGCGGTCTGAGGGACAGTGAACTGGCCCCCTGTTTAAAAAGTTTGAGGCCCCCTGCTGTATGGTGTAGCCTGTTGCTCCTAGGCTACAGACCTGTACAGCATGTTACTGTGTTGCAATTGCAACCCAGTGGTATTTGTTCATCTATATATATGTAACTATAGAAAAAGAACAGTAAAAATATAGCATAAAAGATGAAAAATGGTATAATCGTATAGGGTACTTACCATGAATGGAGCTTGCAGGACTGTAAGTTGCTCTGGGTGAGTCAGTGAGTGGCGAGTGAATGTGAAGGCCTAGAACATAACTGTACACTACTGTGGACCTTATAAATACTATACACTCAGGCTATCCTAAATTTATATTTAATTTCAATAATAAATTAAGTTGCTTACTGTGACATTTTTACTTTATACAACTTTTAAATTATTTTTTAACTTTTTGACTCTTTTTTTGTAATAAACTTAGCTTAAAACATGAACATTCTACAGCAGTACAAAGATATTTTCTTATATCCTTATTGTATAAGCTTTTCTATGTTCTTAACATTTTTTTTTTTAATTTTTAAACTTTTTTGTTGAAAACTAAGACACAAACGCACACATTAACCTAGGCCTACACAGGGTCAGGATCATCAATGTCACTGTCTTCCACCTCCACATCTTGTCCCACTGGAAGGTCTCCAGGGACAGTATCACACAGGGAGCTGTCATCTCCCATGATAACAGTACCTTCTTCTGGAATACCTCCTGAAGGACCTACCTGAGTCTATTTACAGTTAACTTTTTTTTTTTAATAAGTAGGAGTACATGCTAAAATAATGCTAAAAAAGTATAGCATGGTAAATACGCAGACCAGTAATGTAGCTTATTATTGTGTACTGTACATGAATGTATGTGCTATACTTTTATAACTGGCAGCTCAGTAGGTCTGTTATACCAGCATCACCAGCATCATCTCACATCACAGAGACGTGAGTAATGCTTTGTGCTATGACATTGATGGCTACATTAGTAGGCGATAGTGGTTTTTCAGTTCCATTATAATCTTATGTGACCAACCATATATGGTCTCTTCTGGACTAAAATGTCATTATGCAGCACATGACTGTATGTACACACAGATATACATAGATATGTATGTGCACACATATATACACATAAATTATATATACATACACAGAAAATGTATACAAATATGGTGGGAAAATAATAGTTATGTCCCAAATAGGACATGATCTGCCTTCAGCAGATTTGCTTCACCTAAGGAAGAATTGGCTAAGTCAAATAAAATAAAGTGCAGTTAGATTATAGCAAGGAATTTAGAAACAAGAGTTATGTGTGAGCGGGGCATGATCTCTGTCTGACGGTTGGAAGGAGAGTACGTTGCCATGGGAAGACCAAGAATCAGTTGTGTGATTTGTAAAAGGATTGGCAGATATATTTTCCCCTTGTTTCTGCAGATAATACTTTAAACTCTGCTTTGAACCATAATGTGTCACATTATAAGACAGTCTGCAGACTTTATAGGCCATTTCTCCTTGTTACTTAGTCTATTTCACTGTAATACGGTTGATTATCTCTTATCCGAAATGCTTGGGACCAGAAATGTTTTGGAGTTCAGATTTTTTTCAGATTTTGGAATATTTGCTTTCTATTTACTGGTTCAGCATCCCTAATCGAAAAATCCAAAATCTGAAATGTTCCAATGAGCATTTCCTTTGAGCGTCATGTTGGCTCTCAGAAAGCTTCAGATTTTTGGAACATTTTGGATTTTTGGGTTAGCAATACTCAACCTGTAATAGTTATTACTATGTGAAATTGTCTTTACTTGTTTACTCATTCATTGTGTTTCCCTCCTCCCTGAGACAAGGGACCCCATATATCTCGCTAGCAGCAGTTTCCACAGCACCCAGTAAGCACTGTGCCACCAATACATTTGTGTTAAATGAATTACTGCTAATCCTAATTTAGCAACCTGCAGGACATAAACATAATGCTTAAAATAAGATTATCCAAGCTGTTTCATGACCTTCCATTTGAGCAGTTCTGCGAATCATTTTGACAGATGGGAGAGTAGGTCACTTTGTGTCTAATTCAACAGCATTTTTCAGAGCATAAAGATAAAATATCCGAGTAAGCATGTTGTATTTTTAGAAATCAGCCAGGTGAAAAAGAACATCAATGCTCAAGGGGATTGAGGGAAAGATGCAGATGCCAACGCATTATTTCAGAAAAGGCACTAAATGTGAGGGGAAGGAAATGTTTCCATAGCACAGGAGAATCTTAACGTTAAGAAGTCACCTTAGGAAGAAGCCAGTTACAATATCAATCTAGGAATTTCACTGCTCTCTAGAGGTGGTCATGAGAAAAAGGGAAGAGGAGAGAGGGAGGGAACTGAGGTGGATGCAGGAAAGGAGATGAGGAAGATGGGCAGCAGCAGTTTTTGCTGCAGCAGCCTTAGTGGTGAGGGTGAGAGCCCCTCGGCTGGGGTTGGTATTTATGACTGCTCTGGAGGAGGCAGCTCAGGTGTGCAAGCAGAAGGGTGCAGGGGAGTCAACTCAGAACATTCTGCTCATCCTGCAGCGCTGGGGCAAGAACTTGCCCAGGTGGGGCTGAGGCGCCAGAATCGTGGGTTTCTGGGTGCTCTACACCTTCACTAAGCTGGACCAAATAGGTTACCAAAGATGTTATTCAAAGCTTCCCCTGTTAAAAGCATCCTAGTTATTCTTCGTATTTATAGCCACAGATGTCCTGGGAGGCCACATTTAGCACTTTGATTACAGCAAAGACGTGGCTCCTCATTTTATAGATGAATGTATATTACAGTTTGAACATCCCTAATCCAAAGATTGGAAATTCTAAATGCTCCAAAGATCTGAAACTGTTTGAGTGCTTCCAGGGCCATATTCAAAGGAAATGCTTATTGGAGCATTTCAGATGTTGGCTTTCCAGATTAGAGCTGCTGGACCGGTAAAGTAGAACGTAAATATTCCAAAATCTGAAATACTTCTGCTTCTTCTGGTCCTGAGCATTTCAGATAAAGGATATTCAGCCTGTTCTTAGGTTGACTTTCAGTTTTGAAGCTCTTTATATTTTTCCAACCTGGAAACTTTGATCAAAGACTTTCTTGGTCCTTATCTTAATGTTCTCCCCTTTCCCTAAACAAAAAGAAGATAAAGGGGCGAGAGTAGGGGAAAAGGGAGGTAGGTAGATGGGCTGAGTGGGCCAGGAGGAGCAGTGGCCTCCTATATGTTCACCGAGAGGAGAGCTGAGGGAATTCCGTAGTGGCTGTGATAACAAGCCCCACCTCCACCCCAAACCTCACCCTTTATGGGATCTTCGGAGAAATTCTAATACAGCCATTGCTTTCATTTAACTTACTATGTACACACTTCTTTGCACATGCAATATTCACATGCACAAACACATGCTTTTGAGGGAGGTAGGGCAGAGCAAAGGCTTGCCCTCACACTTGTAAAGCACTGAGCCTTCACACCAGGTGCTTTTAACTTTGCTGCCTCGGTTTTCGAATCTATAAGATTGGAAAAATAATGCTTACCTCGTAAGGCTGTTTTGAGGGCTAATTCTGCTTGTTGTGTGGTCAGTGTTTAACCCAGCGTGTGGCATAAAGACATGCACCATTTATGGGACCTATATGCATATGTGATGTTCATGGCCTATTTTTACCCTCTTCGTTCATGTGTTTCCCTCTCCACAAGACATAATAAGTTCCTCACATTCCCTGAGGTCCCAGAAGGGTTCTTTAGCGAGATTCATAGGTGCTAAGGTTGTAGTTATGAATAAAGCATTTTTGAAGTCTGAGACCCCTTTGAACATTTGATAACACTGTTGGCCTTTTCCTCAAGGAGGGAAGCATATACATGCACTTACTACTCATTCTCTCCTTCTCTCCCCTCCCCATCTCTCACTTTCACATAAAATTCCGAAAGGCAGTGTGTATACATGTATGACAAATTGATAAACTGTTGCTTACATATTTACAGTAAAGTGAGCAAATTTTGTTATGCCTAAATAACTTTTTTTAAAGGGAGAGAATGATTTAAAGGAGGAAAAACCCTGTGCATTTTTTTTTTACAGTTTACTCATTTATTAAAGTTCAAGGAGCTTATGGCTGAGAAATCCTTATTGGTGATGGTGGGTTGAGGAGCAAAAAAATGGAAACGAGGATGCATTCCAGGTCCTCAGAAGCTGCTGACCCGGTATATGCCTGAGCCATCTGTCCCACCTTCTTTGTATTAATATATTGGAACCTCATGTCAGGGTGGTGCCTTTTTCTATTACAATTTACTAATTTCATACCAAACCCAGCCAGCATGAACAGGGCCAAAATATTGCTGACTTTTGATTATGTCAAAAGACAGAAGGCAAGAATCCCATCTTGCCTCTTTGGGGACATGAACCTCAAAAGTTTTCTTAAGGAACCTTCTTTGTAGCTTGCTGCAGACAGAAGAATGGAGGGAGTGATCCTGTTATGGTGAGCTTGGTTTCTCGGATTATTTTAGTATAGCAGGGACATGTTTTGGCCATGCTGCCCAAACACCAAGTTGGCCCTTTCTCCACATTTTCTTTGCTGTTCTCTCCCATCGGTCTGCCTGCTGGTGTGGCACCACTTCTTCTAGTAAAAGCTTCATGCGGGAGATCCAGGAACTGAAGGCTGGCAATACGCTGGGTTTGCCTAGAAACTGGATGGTGACATCTGGATCACAAAATGATAATTATCAACTTGTTCTGCAAATGAGGGCATTCCGAGCCCAGCCACAAAAGTGCATGCAGCTATTTTATTGCATGAATTATTAGGAGTGGAAAATAATCTCGGTGATAAATGGCCTCAGGGACAGTTATGGAGTTGGTCTTCATATGCTCTCATTTTAGAAATGATGTATTTTAGGCAATAAACATTTTATGCCAATTTTCCCCTTAGTCAATACATTCTGACCAGCCACAGCTGCAGTAGATTAGCTGCAAATACAGCCTGAATCAATTAAGAAATAATGGTACATCATTCCAATTTATAAGAACATGTTTCTTCAAACATTGCTCTATTGGGGGACTCTTTGACTTTTTGAAATTTTTGAGGTCTGCTGACACAGAGTTCTGAGAAATCTCAGAGCAAGTGCCCACAGATGCTCCCTGAGTAAGTGAGGGTGAGCAGGAGACGCTCTTGTTTACTGATGTAATGGCTGGTGGCTCCGGTAGTGCCACCACGCAACAGTCCACGACTTCCTTAATGTGCATTCAGTTTCTTTAAAATGCCAGAACGATTTTTAAAACCAAATCCATCTTTCAGGGGAAGTAACATTTTTTTCTCATTTGTTTTCCTTCAGCTTACAGATGTCTCGTCAAATAGGAAGCCCAAATGCCTGTATGTATATTTTTTTTACTGGGACCATTTGATGATGTTTGTATTGAATGTTTTCCTTTTGTATTTTATATGCTATCTATGATATAAATGGATTTGAGAGACTTAGGTGAAAATTTAAGTGGCCGTTGGCCCAAGGCCACACAGACTTTAGCTAACTTTGTAAAATGCTGATGTGACTTTCAAATATGCTAATAGTCTATTAGTGTATGGCACTGGGGTAGTACTAGAGTATTTTCATAGTATTTTATAGTATAACTTTCTCTTATTGAGGTGTAGTATGGTCATAATAGCTCTGTAGTACTATTACTGTAGTATATGTTTGCTACATTGTATAGTATAGTATATATTTAGTATTGTATAGTATTGTTTAGTATTAGTATAGTATTGTATAGTATATGTTTACTACATTTACTACAATCTATGAATCATGTATTTGGAAATAGCCGTACAATGGATTTGTCTGAATTCCCTAGTGGTCACTCAAAGAGTCAAGAGATACAAGTTCTGGTGCTGTCTTCTCCATAGACCACTGTATGCATTATTTGGTGTGGTCATTGCAATCTTCTATGCCTCAGTTTTATCACTGGCAGATAGGACCAGTATCTCCCTGGGAATATAGTATTTTGTGATGATTTCATGGAGGCCATGGGCATTTTTGGAAGAAAAATACCAATATATATTTGTCTGCCTGGCAGTGTTATCACCACTGTAGTATGCAGAAGTGATTGTGCCATGAGTAGTTATTATTCTTTTAAGGTTTTAAAGAAATCTTTCTTTCTGTTCATCTCTCTTCCACCCCTCTGCAGAAGCCGAGGGCACCCGCATGCGGCCTGTAACCACCCTGATCTCAAGACCCACTTCCATCCCAAGGGAAGGAGCCACCTGAAAAAAGCCAAGGATGACAGAGCCAGCATGCAGCCCGCCAAGTCCATTCACGAACAGGCCGAGTCCTCAAGAGAACTCTGCAGACCGCCAAAGAAAGGGGAGCTCCTGGGGTTGAGCCGGAAAGGCAACATCAGGCCCAAAATGGCTAAAAAAAAGCCGACGGCTATTGTGAACATCATCTAAAAGGGTGGGTGGCTCTGGACCACCCTCGCTGGGTTTTGAGGAATGTTGTTCCAGGGGCCAATGATAGTGTCCTTTTGGACACATCCCATAGTAAGACACGTTGGAATGGCAAAGGGCATAACACATTGAAGCACCTTGATTAACCAGAATTCAACAAATGGGAAACTCAGTGAAGCAGAACTGTATTATAACCATACCCTTATAGAAACTTGCAAATTACAGAAAGAATAAAAAAAAAAAATTAAAGTTTTATTAAAACAAAGTGCCAGCTTCTAAAATAATTGGCCCAGTCTCCAGTGATTTTGGCATCTGGGCTTCTATGCAGTGGTCATTAATTCTCAGGCTCAAAGCCACACAAGATGACAGGCATTGGGAGAGCATTCAGCTGTGCCCACTGCTCTCTAAATTGGGAGGCGAGGAATCAGAGTGTAAAGTTCTGTTAACAGCAGTGAAATAAAAATATTTGTGTTTGTTTTTAGCCTTCCCCTCAGTTAATTTGAAATCCTCCAAAATAAGGATTCTGGTTTAATCAAGATTTCAGTCTTTGGGTTGCTTGCAGGACTTGCTCAGTCAGACTTCAGTTCTCATGTCGACGGAACTGTTTTTCAGTTTTGTTTGATTGAGGTTGTTTGGGGCCCCAGATGCATGGTTATTCAGATTTCGGTACACCTCTGCTGTCCTCTTTGGCTGAGCATTCTGCGTCCTCACACCAGGCCTCCAGCCTCTGTCTTAATAGCAGCTGCTTCTGTCGCGATGGCTGGGGAGGACGGCTGGGGAGGACGGTAAAACCCTGCTGACCAGCACGCAGCTTTGGCGCGGTGGCTGGGGTGGTCGGAATGCCAGCGAGTTGCGCGCTTGGTGGCACCGTGACCATTCTGGAAGCACTGTGGCTGTTACTTGGCCCTTGCCTAGGACCTGCTTCCCTGGCAGTGTCAGCGGCTCGCTCTCTGTCAAATGTGGACTTTATCTCCACTGGCCTAGCTTTTCCACTCAGCAGCTCACTTCGCCTCCTGCTGCTTCTGTGCCCTTTCATGACTAAAATACACGTTCTTACCTTTCAACCGAGTACCTGGAGTGTTCACTGTACATTGCATTCTAAGGTAACTTCTGAAATAAACAATGCATGTAGGAGCCAGAATCTGACACTGTCCTCCCCTTCCTCCTGCCCCAAACGGCTTTTGTTTCCACAAAGAACTATCTGTGAAGAACATCCTGCTTTATGATTTTCCTCAAGAATAAGTTCCCGTGTTATTTTTTTTTCCCTTACATTTAGCAATATCATCAGATCTCACGCAGAGTTCAAAAGTGCTGACATCCTTCTGGAAACAAGAATAATTTTGTCCACAAAGGGTACATATATATATACATATATATATATATATAAAACACATATAAAAATATTTATGTCAAGTATATTAATAATTTATTTTTAAATACTCATGGAGAAAGTGTGTTTGTGGTGAGTGGTTTTTAAACTATATATTTTTGTTCATGTAAATTGAATTCTCTTAATTTAAAAATTAAAACTGTAACCTAATTAACATTAGTAGTATTATGATTGTTATTGCAATAAGCATCAGATTAGCAGTGCTTTAAAAATAGGTAATAAAGCAGTTACTCAAAATGGCAGTCAATTGAAAAATGTAACATACAAATATTTTAAATCTATCATAGTGAAAATGTTGATTTTTGAATCTTCACCTTGACTTTTGGCCTATGGAGGTGGACCATTCATGTGATATATAGGCAGCTATCAAGTGGGGAAAAAAACATTTCTGTGAATATCACTGTTTAGGCTAACATTGTAAAAATTGTAATATTATAATTATTTATGTGGAGAATTAACCTCCTCCAGAGCTATTTATTATTGATGCTTATACCATGATTGCACTTTTGCCTTTTACATACTAAAAAAATGACATGTTAGTTGTATTGCATGCTCTTTGTCCTGTAACGTGTGTGTGATGACAACTTGTTTTTAAAGATGTTATATAGCCAGATTTTTTTTCTTATTTAAAGTAACTGATGTTTTTGATTTTCATTTAACATGCCTAGAGGGTATGGCAGCTCTCTTTGACAGTGGTACCCAATGATCTTCAGAAAGCACCATAATGTCATGCTACTCTATCCACATTACACAAAACAAATTATTTTTATATTTATTTATTAAGACATTTTTAAGTTCCCACTAAATTTTGACCCCCATATAAGGAAACGTGTTATATGTGTTGTGCTTCCTTAGAGACATAAATTTACTGTTGAAACACGGGAGCTGGCTCGCTCAGAAGGATACTCCCAGTTACATACCATGGCCTGAGCTGTGTGCCATGTCCCATTTGTGTCTTGTTTTTAAATATTTTCTTTGCCCACATGGGCAGTCAACCTTAGAGGTAGGGCAGTTGCTTTTTTGAAGAAATCACCAAAGTTTCTGGGAAAACATGTTCAGGGTTAAACTAAAGAATAGATCTAATTTTATCATTTGTTTTGTAGGTGAGAAATCTTCATTTGAACTATTCTTTCTTTTTCTTTTTCCCCAAACTAGGTTACAGATTCTTATGTGCAGGGTTCAGATTGCTTAGACACTGTTTTCCAGTATTCTGCAGGGCCAGTCAGTTGTATAGAAGTTGGAATATTCTGTTCCCAGAATTTAATAAAAAGTTTTTAGATTATGAAATATTATAATAAAGCTCTATTTCTGACTAATGTCTTGGTACGTTTTGTCTAGTTGAAGTTTTTGGGGGGCCAGGGATGTTGCTCCATTAACAGTGAATAAAATGATCCTTCATGAATAATCTGTTAAATGTGTTAAAAGCTATTAAATCACCATGATCTTGTTCACCCATAAACTTTCTTGAAAATTTAGCTCGATTATTTTTGTTCATCAAGTATTTGTGAAGTGTGTGAGCACCAGTGGTCTCAGGTATGATAAAAAACAAAAGTACAATGAGAAAATAGGTTTTCTTCTAGCTAGTGGGGATCAAAGAGGAAGTGGTATTTGAAGAATGAGTAGGCTTGGAGGTAGCAAAAGAGAAGAGCATTTTAGGCAGTCTGAGCACAGTCGTGAAGATAGGAAGCACAGGACAAAGCCTGGAAAGTAATATAATTTTACCTTTTGTGGCCATCTGTTGGCTTGTCTATCTCCCTGTCTACAGGGTAAACCCCTCAGGTCTGCATCTGTCCTGTAGTGCTGTATCCTGTCATGAAAGAACTGTACCAGTCTTGGTGTCTCGCACCCAGCTCTGGGCCTGCTGCCATGTAGGCATTGAGGAGAGATCCAGTGAGACAGCATCGTTCGTTCCTAGAGCCTGGGAGGAGGCTCATCTTGCCAGTGAGGAACAAATAGCTTCAGCTATAGGAAGAGAAGGACCACAAGTATATAGAAACAGGCGGATCCTTGGAGCACTCCTCTTAATAAGGGCCCTTCCAGCTAGGGCTGGAGCATATGCAGTGGCTGGCCACCCCTCTTATCGGTAGGGGTAGCTCCTTTTGATATTCTCCCTCTTTTGATATTCTCCTTTTTTGTAGCCTGCATCTATGGTATGATAGTACATGGCATTTCCTTCTTCTGAATTCATGGTACACATTGCTCATTGGCCAGTTATCTTTCCTGGTGAACACAGACATAGCCTCAGAATCCTTCTTAACACAGCCATGACCAGCTGTGGCAGGCAGAATAATATTCAGACCCCCCCCCCCACACACACACGCACATTTTAGCTTTGCAACTAAAGAATTGTAAGTAAAGGATAAAACTGTAAGATAATATGTGTTGTTTAAGCCACTCAATTGTGGTAATTTGTTAAAGCAGGCATAGGAAATGTTTTTTCTTTTTATTTTTCATTTATTCCTTTTTATTTTTAAGAGACTGGGTCTCACTATGTTGCCCAGGCTGGAGTGCAGTGGCTATTCAGAGTTACGATCCCACTACTGATCATCACGGGAGTTTTGACCTCCATTTTCGACCTGGGCCAGTTCACCCCTTCTTAGGCAACCTGGTGGTTCCCTGCTCCCAGGAGGTCACCATATTGATGCCTAACTTAGTGCGGACACCCAGTTGGCATAGTGCACTACAGCCCAGAACTCCTGGGCTCAAGCGATCCTCCCTCCTCAGCCTTCCCAGTAGCAGGGACTACAGACGCACGTGCCAAAACGTCTGGCCATAGAAAATGAATATACCAGTTAATCAGATACAGCACACAAATTGCAATCTATTTGCCATTCCTCAACAATGGTGCAGCTGAAAGAGTGCTGGCATCAGCATCCTGCTTTACAACCTACATCTGCCGGGACTGAGGGTCCAGTTTCCTCATCTGGAAAATGGACAGAATGATGTCTTGCCTTGGCCATGTAGGAAGTACCCGGCAGCAATCACGAAGTCTTTCCTCTTCCCTACCAACTCCCTAACAAGGACTTGAAAATAGAAAAACAAGATTCTTCCCAGTGTACTAAAACAGAAAGCCAGAAATAATAAAACAGAGCAGAAAGTTATATAAAATTGCATTAAAAAGTCTCCATGGCAAAGAACTATCACTTGATTGAAGATATTAACCTAATAAAAACAGATAGGTACTAACATATCTCAAGAAAGACATCAGGCTCCACTACGTACTAGTTTTATGATCTTGAACAACTTATTTCATCCACTGTAGTCTCATTCTCTGTGTAATCAGGATTATGATGCAGATCTAATGAGATGATCCATGTAAAGTTTTTGGAAAAATCAGTGCTTCATATATTTATTTAAGAGAGAGTTAGTTAAATATGGAGACTTAGAAAATGGTGTGTCAGAAAAACAAATCTCAATAGCATCTTTTGGGGATATATGGGCCAGTAAATAAAATTCCCCTTCCAACTTCTGAATCAACCAATAATTACAACACACGAGCCCAATGCTCGGAGACCAAAATATCAGTGCTACTTGTAAAGCTGGATTGTGGAACACTCTTTGACTTAGAGCTCTATCCATTGCTTTTGGATCTTAATGCAATTGCTTTGATTTGGTTCTTGGGATCCTATGTCTTCATTCTCTAAAGGATCAAGGTGGCATCTCTGGTCTTCTTTTCTTGGGAGTCTCTACCCCAGTTGTAGTTGACATTTGTCCTTCTTTATGACTGTTCAGAATTTGAACCCCCTTGTTATGTCTGCAAGGAGGTTCCTCACCGAGTATGGTAGAGCCATCTCCAACTGTAGAAGCTGAAAATGCCACATAATCACTTTCCTAGCCTTTCCTAAAGCTTTGTGACTTAGATTGCGCTAATCAGACATGTCCACTTCAGTCTTTGATCAGGAAGAATTGACGCAAAGAGAGGGTGTACAGAATGATGATGGAAGTCTGGTGATGGAAGAGAGTGGCGGTGGCAGCTCCATGCAGTTGCCTGAGGTGTTGTAACGACAATTCTGACAGCAGAATCCAGCATCCAGAGTGATGGAGGTAAGTTGTGTTTGTGCCCACTGGCAGTGACACTGGTGTTTTCACTAGACCAGTTCAGTGGTTTAATTTTGGTGTCGTCGCTGGCTGGCTAGCACCTCCACACCTGGTTCTCCATCCTTCTCACAGATAATGTGAGCTAATATTGCCAGTTTAATAAACCCCTTCCTAATACATCAGCTAGAATCAATTTCTCTGCTTGCTGCTAAGAACCCCGATGAATATAGCACATCTGCTTCAAGTAGTTGGGGAGGTGAGGAGCCACTTCCTTTTAAGTGGGTCTGGAGTGAATTCCAGGTGGGTTGTAATAAAGTATCCATATGGACTCTGGCACAAAAGGGTTTTTGTGTATTCTTACTTAGCCCATTTCCTTCTTGGGCTACAAGGTCAGGTGTAGGGTTCCCTGCAATTTGTCTAGCAGGAGGGAGCCCTTCACCAAAGTGAATACTCAGTTTGGCTCAACAGCTTAAGGTCTCACCAGACGGATCTTGCCAGAATCACTAAAATTAACTACGTATCTCTCCATCCAACTAACCAACCATTCACCAATCTATATTTGGGGCCCTGTATGAGACAAGTCAGACAGTGGTGCGTACAGGGGATATAGGCTGCCTCGTGACCAGGTATGTCTGGGCTAGCTGGTGAAGTGTTCTGCACCATCAAGGCCAATCCCCATCATAGTCAGCCTCTCTGTGATGGTGTCCACGTTACCCTGACTGGCCCTAGTGCCTCTGCAGTCTTCTGGGACCTCAGTGTCTCAACAGAATCCCTGACTTTGTCATTCTCTGTCCAGTGACACTGTGTATTTTCTTCATAGCACTGATTACTGTTTATTTATAATATTTATAAGATATATTTGTGTCTATTATATAAACTTACTGGCTATAATAAAGAAAAAATTGCTTCATGACTCAAATTAATTAGTGCAAAAATTGCTGAAGATTTTATCATTGTTTTTAGGCTTCTTAGCACAAGTGAACTAAAAGTGAAGCTCAAGGTTATCCTTTCTAGCTCTTAAAAAGAGTTTTCACCTCCACCTCTGAAATGCTCTGCCAAGAGTACCACCCAGTGGATGATCCAGGTAATCCATCCTCTTTTTTTTTTTTTTTTTTCTGTTCATATGCCTTTCCTGTTTCTAACCTTTTGCTGCATACTTGGATTCTCTTCCTTGTCTTGCCTTTGGTTTTCAGCAGTTTTATCATGATGTGTTTAAGTGTGATTTTATTTGTATTTATGCTGATTATGGTTGCTTCTAAAATCTGTGGACATTTTATCTTCAAATATTTCTTCTGCCTCTTTCTTTTCTATCCTTTTGGGGCTCATAGTGTATACATGTTATACCTTTTCATTGTATATGAAATACATGTATTTCACACATGTCTCTTATGCTTTTTTATGTATTTGGATTCCTATTCTTTCTGTACTTTGGTTGGATATTTTCTATTGACCATTCTTCCAGTCCATTATTCTTGTCTTCTCCTGTGTCTAATCTCTATTAAATTAATCATTTCAGATGTCATATGTTTTAAATTCTAAGATTTTAATTTTGATTCTTTTTCAGGGATTGCAATTCTCTGAGAAATTCTCCATTTAAAAATCTACTTTCTTTATTTTCTTGAACATATTAATCATAATTATTTTAAAGTCCATGTCTGCTAGCTCTAATATCTATGGGTAACTTGTGGTTCTATATCTATTGCATGTTTTTTCTCTTGGTTTTTAGTAATATGGTCCTGACGCACAGTATGTCTGGAAATTTTTTAATTGAATGTTGTTGATTGTATATAAAAATTATATAGGCTTCAAATGAGTGTTTCTTTCTCCTCAGTATGTTCACCCTTTCCTCTCCTAGGCAAATGAAATTGGGACTGAGTATCTTAAAACAATTAGGAATTGCACTAAGTTGAAGCTGATGTTTAGTTTTGGAAGGCTCAGCCTACCTCTGATTTGGCCCTATTACTAAGGTTTTGTCCCTCAGGATTTTCAACTGAATGCTTGGTGAGTTCATTGGGCTCTCTCTATCTCTCTCAATGGGAGGATCTAATCTTTGTCTCATCAACATTATGAAACAGTGAAAAATTCCTCTCTGATTTTCAGGTTTTTGGCTTAATTTGCAAGTCCTAAAGTTTACTCTTGTTTCTTTGGTACCATAAATATATGATACTTTGTGTTTCAGATGTTTTCTGCTTCATATTTCATCCTCCTGCCCTCACAGCTTCAGAAGTTGGCAAATGTCTTGAGGGGTCATGTGTTTGAGGCCCCTCAAGTTTTTAATTATGTCTCTATAGCCCACAAAACCATTAAAATCTTTGCTTGTTTTTGTTTCTAACAGCAGTCTAAGAAAATCTTTAATTGCCAATCTCTTAGAATTTGCAGATGCCCCTAGGGAATAAGTGACTGTATATTATCAACGCATCTCTCTGAAATTTTCCCC